AAAGTCATTCACTTGTGAATGATAAGGGAAGGATGGGAAGTGTATGGATGATAAAGAGTGTGAGGTTGAGTAACTAGGGTAGCGCTGGTGGTACGGAGGCTATAGCCGAGGTGAAATTGGTGACACGTAGTCACTACGGCCGTAGCCGAGATGAAGTTTGTGACACGAAATCACTGTGGCCGTAGCCGAGATGAAATTAGTGACACGTAGTCACTGTGGCCGTAGCCGAGATGAAGTTTGTGACACGAAGTCACTGTGGCGGTAGCCGAGATGAAATGGGTGACACATAGTCATTGTGGTCGTAGTCGAGATGAAGTTTGTGACACAAAGTCACTGTGGCCGTAGCCAAGATGATATTGGTGACACGTAGTCACTGTGGCCGTAGCCGAGATGAAATAGGTGACACGTAGTCACTGTGGCCGTAGCCGAGATGAAATTGGTGACACATAGTCACTGTGGCCGTAGCCGAGATGAAATAGGTGACACGTAGTCACTGTGGCCGTAGCCGAGATGAAATTGGTGACACGTAGTCATTGTGGCCGTAGCCGAGATGAAATTGTGACTTGACAGTTTTCGTGTAAGTATATGTTAAGGGGTTTACAATGGGCCTGAAATGGGCCTATTTATGGACTACTAAAGCTGGTTAATGCAGCAGACGACAGCTGTTATGGAAGAACGTGCAGTAATAAATATCGTCTACGAAAAGTAACCGTCACATTCGAAGGGACGCGGTGTTAATTTGAACGACGAATTTGAAAGGGCACGGTTGTGACGATTTAAGGGAGTTAATCGTGACCGTCAAGATATGTTCTACAGTCATATATATACTCAGAGTTAGAAAAATCCAACCCAATTTGCTGTTAGCTTCTGGAAAAGTCACCGGTGTACCTGCACTCAACGCTGTTCGTCAGTTTTTGCAGAGACCAGGTAATTTGCGAGCATCCGAGTGTCTTTTTCTACCTTTCTTTGTCGTGAGAATGTCTTCTGAAGAGACGCTTAGTGACGGCCGAGTGAGGGGGAGGGTTGAGGAGGTAGAGGATAGGGATTTGAGGGTGCCGCCGAACATTTTGGAGAGAGAGGATGGAAGAGAGCCGTGTTTCAACCCTGAGGAGGAAGTTGTTAGTGAGGTGGCAGGGTATGAAACAACTTTGGAAAATAGGGGTAGTTTGGCCCACTTGGTTGAGAACTATGGGGTGCCTGGGCGTGTGTTGGTGAGGTCGACGGGGAGTAGAGAGAGGGCGTGTTCGGCCCCGGGGAACCACTGGATGCCTCTCTACTCCCATTACCTGGCGGCTGGGTTGCGGTTCCCTCTCCCAGACCTGTTGGTGTGGTTGTTGTTGGAGTATGGTCTGGGGTTAACGCAACTCACCCCCAATGCCGTGAGGTTAGTGGTGGCGTTTGCAGCGTATAGCCGAAGTCGGGGGGTAAGTTTTCCCACTGCTAACGTATTCAAGTACTTTTACGTCTTGAATGCTGGGAGTGGTAGGGAGAAGGGGTGGTACTATTTTACGGGC